CCGAATATGAGTCAACTATTGAAGAAGAACTCGAAGAGAATGACAAATTAATCACAACGAGACTAAACGAAAATGTGGCAATCAATGGGGAGAAAATCAACTTACACTCTTCCAACTTAGGTGATTGACAAGATATTGATTTTATGATTAAGCCCGATGAGGAAGTAGAAATCTTTATAGTTGAACTTAAATTGGATGAAATATGTAAGTCCTATTATACGGAAATGGGCAATGTTGAGGTTTGGAGATCCAATGAAGGGTGGAGCAAAGCCAAACGAAAAAAATGGGCAAGGCATCCAACGTCTTCTTTAGATGCCCATAAGTTAATTGCCAAAATCGAATTAAAGACTATAAAAAAGCTCTTATTGGGAGGCAACCCAATTTTTTTTTTTTTTAACTTTTAATATTTTTATTCAATTTTATGCGTTTTCTTATTTTTATTTGATTAGATATCATTATTTTTGTAGGTAATTTTTGAAGTCTCACATAGACATGGTTCCTAACAAGTTTGGGGCAAATTGGTGTACAAGAAGGTCACTTGTCCAAATTCATTAAAAGCATCATAAGTCTAATTTAAGCATGGGTACCTTTTCACAAATGTACACCCAGGAAAGTTTCGTTATCCCCTCTTCTCTTTTGTCTTGTTCTTTACATTGAGGACAATGAGAGATTTAAGTTTAGGGGTAATTGTGTTAACATGTTAAATAGTCGTGCTGGCTTAGAATTACTTGATGTTTAAAATTGTTATTGATTCACGAGATATGACCAAATATGCTATCTGTGCCTAATTTTTTTTTGGAAACTTTGCTTGTCCATGTGAGATCCCAAGTTGATGTGAGCACAATAGTCACGATCAATTGTTATCTAGATATGAAATTTTTTTATGGATAGATTTGTTTTTTTAATTGGTAGAACTAAATTGTTAGTTGTGTTTAAATTTTTATCAATCCTATATTCTCGTCTCTTTCACTTAACCATATTGTGATATAAGTTTGGGGGTGGTCGAGTCGGTGAAGGATGTTATCTAGGAGGGTGTTGATTCCATGCATGTTGAAAATATTTGTGTGGAGTGTCTTTTGCCAAATATAAACTAGGGAATGACCATATGCTAGGGATCTAAGTTCCATTAGTTTTGTTGTGCTTAAAAAAATGATATTGCATTTGTTGACTCTAAAGTCTCATTCCGTAGCTTTTTTTTACTCGAGTTATTAAGTCTGTTGGGGTATTTCGAAACCCGGTACCCTTTGGCCTAAACAACCAAAGAGTTATCGACCTAAAACTCGTTACAAAAGTCAAAAAGAAAGTTTAAGAGAGTGAGGTAAAACACGAAATTTAATTGAAAAAGAAAAAATTGTTGTTGTTGTTCAATTGTATTTGATATTTGGTTTTAGATAACTAATAAGTTTGAATTACTTAGTATAAACATAAATATTGAAGCACTCATTAGTAGAGAATCATCACATGACTATATGTTGAAATTGCAGGTTAGACCCAACCGAACTAGAGCGAAAAAAGTAATGAGTGAATTGAGAGAAACATTTAGATTTACACCATGGGAAAGAAAATAAATAGTTATTTGAGGAGTGTCAATCTCACGAGCAAGAAAAGAAATATTTGACTACTAAGGGTCAGGTTAGAGCCAATTTGATATTTTTTCTGTCTTGACAACTTTTTACTAATTTAGATGATGATAAAAAGTGACTATGCACACACTTACACCGATCGATCATTGGATAAGCTTAAATTGTTTTAGTAGCATTATTTGGAGGTATATTTGTGAATTGATTTCACAATTTTACACTCATTGATATTTTTAACAAGCTATCTTATGTATTGATCATTATCGCATGTGCTTGATTGTGCTGTAGATAATCTTGCTTGGCACGAGCGAAAGCTTGAGTTTAGGAGTATTTGATAAGTGTATTTTTGCACACTTNAAAAAAAGGATTAAAATAGTACGAAATTTGTGAAGTTGGAGACCAAAATGTACAAGTATAGAAAGTTGAAGGACCTTAGATGCAATTTATGAAGGGTATGATTGATATGAAAGTCAAAATATAAGGATCATATTGTATAAGATCAAAGTTGAGGGACCTGGTATTTAATTATCTAGGGACTTGGCTGTAAAATGAAACCAAATTCATTTTTTTTGGCAGAGAATTGGTGTCAGGCGCCACTATAGCAGCGCCTAGGCGCTTGTTTCAAAATCTTGGAGACCGTCTTGCCTTTACTTTCAAAATCGGGGGCTTTTGTTATAATTTATGGGATAGGCCCTTCAAATAAAAAGGTGCTCAGCTAGGTTTTTGGATGGATTCTGCTTCCGTTTCTTTTCAATTTCTTTCATTTTTTATTTTTCTTTCCACAATTTACTTGGTATTTCTAAGGGTAAAATTAAGAGCATAACAAAGAGAATATTGCAAAGAAAATGTGAAGAAATATTTGAGAAAAGTCAATATCAGGCTCAAAAGGGGTTTTATCTGTAATCTTGTATTTTTCCAATTATTTTGCCATAGGTATAATATATTGCTTTAAATATTCTTCTTTTTATCATTTGTATAACATATGCTAAATATTTGTGTTGAGATTTATGGTAGTAGTTTAACCTAACTTTAATTAATTTTAATATTTGCTCTTTAATGTTAAAAATGCTTATTTTCATGTATATTTATTATTGTGTTGAATCCATTTCATTTATTGGGCTATTAAATTATTGAGTTTAATGATTTGTATGTTGTTCGAGATAAGATTATATATTTTAGACTAAATAGTAAATTTTCTAGATTTGTGTAGGGGATAGAGATATACATCTAACCTTAGGTAACTCATTGAACTATTTTCACAAATATTTAATGCAATTGTTTGATTTTNCACAAATATTTAATGCAATTGTTTGATTTTAATCGACATAGAAGTATAGTAAGTCAAACCAATCAATTAGAGTTAATTTCGCTCGAGAGAGATAATTAACTAATATTGAAAGATCGAGTCTAATATCGTAAATGAGTAATTTGTTAATTGGCTTGTGGATAAATTAATTAAGCGACGATTAAGCGATATCATGAATTCCAACCACATTTTCCTCCAGAATTCCCAAGTGTTCATGTTTTTTATTTTGTAGAATTTTAGTTATTTTCCAAAATTAAAATCTTTATTGTGTGTGTTTCTTTTTATTTTTAGAACTAAATTAATTAAAATTGTGTAATCGAAAGTAAATAATCATCGAGGGATCGACAACTTGAACTCAAAAACTCTATTTTATTACTTGAACGCGATACGTGCACTTGCGATTTGCACTTTCATAGTGAATACTTGTGATTCGAAGTGCTTCTACCACAAGTTGTATCCGTTTTATTTTGGAAGACAAATATCGTAATCCGTTAGCATCGTTACGGAACAATTGTCTTAAGGAGAAAATATTAATCACTTGCCTCGAATTTCATTATTCACCTTTTTTCATTTTCTTTATTTATTTTGTACTTCTATTTTCATAGAGTTTAATTAAACTCCTACGAATTAAACTTAATTATTATTTTGTCATTCAATCAAACAACCATTTCACTATACCATACAATTATCTCCTTCATAGATGAGAAAATGTATTATGAAATTACTGTTAAGCACGTCCAGCTTAGCTTAGAACTACAAAATGTGTTGATCTTATTGAAAAATGTGTGGTTGAAAAGAAAAAAGAGAAAAACGTATTTTTAAAATAATGGGGATCGAACAAGGACTATGTATTTCCGTCTGAGCATGAGCTAATGTAGTGGTTGATACTTTTGGATATACTAGTTAACGTTAAACGTGGGTTGAACGTTATTATGAAATATTTTATAAGGACTGTAAAAGTTTTATTTGAATATGCGTGAATTTTAATTAATTTAAAATTAATATTATGGAATATATATGTGACAATGAATGTTAAATAATTTATTGAATTTTCAATTAAAACTATATGTTAATTAACATACATGAATGTGAATAATGAAATACATTTTTAAATGTGAAATTTTATTTAACTTATAATTACAATTAATAACACTGAAATACATAAATAAAAATGAATGTTAATGTTAATTAATTGAGAATTAATAATAGAACATTCATACATTAATGAAAGCGCACAAGTGAAATGAATCTGTCAAATATACATGTACATTGATGATAATTAAATAGTTAAATAAATTAAATATATATTGAAAAATAAAAAGTAAAGTATTATCGAAATAATTGAATTAAAGTAGTGTCAGAATCATCCGAAAAATTATTCTCTTTTGATTTGATATATAATATATTATAGATTCATGGAGACTGGGATAAAGTTATAGACTATTCGAAATTTTAGATACATAAAGAGAAAGTATATTCATTTTTAATAAAACATCAGTATGTATAGTATGATTCAAAATAAATAAAAATAAAACGAGTAAACAAGTTGTCGGTCACCAAGCCGGGTTTCATTTTAGTTGGTCTTCATTCTTCAACTTGTCTGGCCGGTTTCGACTTTATTTTTACAAAAACTCATTTTTATCCACACAATTTCTCATAAAATAATTTTATACGCAAATCTAAAACTTTTTTTTTTTATTTTTTAATTATACATTCTCTAATAAATAAATATTCCAAAACACGTTTTTCCTCAAAAATGGAGACGAACAAGGGCTTAATAATCTATGAATTTCTATTTTTGTTTTCGTTTAAGAATCACCAAAATAACAAGAAAGAATCCAAGAATTTTGCGTGTTAAAAGGAATGTTACTATACTATTTCTTGTTCTTTCATATGTTGAATTCCAAGTATAATGATCATCAAGAATCACGAATTTTGTTAATTATACTTTATAATTGCAAATCTTCATATCATATATATCCCATACGACACGTGAATCTTATTCGAAATTCTAAATGCTTAAATTAACGAGAAACAATCAAGGATTTCGAGATTCTAATGATCTAGCACGTAGGGTATAATTATCCGCTTGTTGCGACATTCGAAAGGATGCTCTAACTACTTTCGAGATATTGAATGAAATTTTGTATATAGCGATCATGTAATTTTTTATCGCCAAATACCTCACTCATTTCTTTAGTCCTCTCTCGAAATGTTTTCCCCTCATTTTCATCCATCACTAATTTTATCGAGTCGGACACTGAGTTCTTCGTGTATGTTCCATCGTCGTGGTTCTTTGGGATTTCCATCCTAACATGCTGATCAGCAATGACCCTA